AGTGTGCAGGGATAGGATGAATTTCCAACAGGAGCTTATGACTCAGTTACAATAGGTCCTGTACTTTTTTGAATGAATATTTGATATTTGCAGTTCTTAAGTGGAAACAAAATCTTGACTATAGTTGAATAAACTGTAAGCAATAAGCAATGTGTAGTTTATAAAATGGACTAGAGGAAGGGGAATTTTTTGAATTCCTATGGTTTTAACAAACTGGCTTTTGAAAAGGTAAGTTTAAAAGTATCAGTAAGTGAGGCTTGTGGTGTTTTGTGTTTTTTTTTTTTTTTGTAATACAGCACTTTAAATTCTGCCCCAAATTTTCAAGAATTATTTCAAGAGTGGCTTCTATTTTGGCTTTCTTAATTTGAACTGTCACAAAAGTCTGATATTTAGACTTCATATAAGAAACCTTGAATTTGGGCACCTAAAATCACCAGCATTCTTTGAAAATAAGATACAGGGTTTTTTAATTTCAAGAAGAATTATGAAAAGGTATGTAGCATTTCTTTTTACTACTGTAGAGATTTCTTATGTGTTTTCCATCTTCTAACTATTGTTACAGGTTGAGTATAAACTGGGATTTCAGGTAGATAATCCTATGGCTATGGCTATGCCCCAGGCCAACATTTCTCTACAAGGAGAAGTTCCTCGCACCCTTTCAGGTAAACCTCCCACCCCCTGAAAGTGCACAGCTAGTGCTGATACTAATAATGCTTTCTGGTGGTACTTTGTTTTTTCCAAAATATGTGTAGTGTTGCTTAAGAGCGTAATCTTTCTCTATTAAGCTTAATATGTTTACAGGCTTTCTGCAACAGTTATGACATTGCTAAAAAAAGTGTATTATAGATTGAGACTATTAGTCTGAGAGTAATATTCCCCCCGAAATGTGACATTTTTATGTGAATGTACACACACAAGGTTTCTGTTCCCTTTCAACAATAATCATTAGCAACTGCATGGATTTTAAAATCCATGCCTTTTAATTTCTCTAGCCTACAGAGATGACATTTCAAGATGTGTGGGAGTTGTTAATAGATTAAAGTGTTTATGGTAAGTTTTAAAACTGAGAAAACTATTTTGAATATGTATTAGCTCCCCCATAGAATTTATACTAGAAACAATTTTGTTTCAGGAAATGTGCAAGTGATCATCATGCCTTTCTCATTCAACTGTGGTTCCTTGTACTCTGTTAGATATTCAAAGGGCAATAAAATATATATTGATGTTTCGGTTTTGTACAACTTTTTTGTGAAAGCAGACACTAGGGAATTAGGCTTGTTGTGTCTGCTCTGTTGGCATAAATAATACTGGTATATAAGCCAGAAAGTAAATAATGTCATACTAGTTTAAGCTTGATTCCAGTCAGATTTGCAGAGACCAAAATATTTAAACTTAACAGTTGTGGAAAAAAGCTAGCTTTCATAGCATTTGCAAAAGCAATGAGGAAAACTAAGTTTTCTGGTTTTCTGTGATAACAGAGGTTTCTCTTGTGACAGCGCTTTAACTCCAAAGCTAATGGATGGCTAATGGTCACTTATCCACAGATACAATTTTAGTAATCTGTAAACTTTTAATATAACTCACATAAATTCATTTAAAATCTATGCCCTTTAATGCTTTAATAGTTGTCTGAAATTACAAGGCATGAAGGCTAAAGTAGCATTTCTTAATAGCAAGTTCTTTAAAAATGTACATTATAAACATCATTTAAAAAGACCTTTATCATTTAAATATTCTTTCACCACAATGTCTGAAAAGTGCTCGAACTTAACTGTAGTCCCTATTTGTTGTCTGTTTGCAGTGTTTCGTGTCGAACTCTCCTGCACTGGCAGATTTGACTCTGAGGTCACAATACTAATGCAGCTCAACTTGACAATAAATTCATCAAAAAACATCACAGTTTTAAATTTCAAACGAAGGAAAATGTGCTACAGAAGTAAGACATTAAGTTTCAAATATTAACAAGCTTTTAGTGTTAAAGTATGATAGGAAAAAGGAGTGGGAAGGTATATGATCCAGGACATGAGTAACAGATTCCAAGAGTGAATGTTGGAGAGGATAGGGAAAAAAACAGGTAAAATTTTGCCTTTCAGAGACGAATGGGGTCTTTTGGTAAAAGCAGAAGCTGATGGATGAACAAATTCCCCAAGTGTTATGCTGCATTGACTGACATTTTTACATATATAGCAAAAAGCATTTTCTCTGTTGTGCTTGGAAGGAAGAAACTAGTTTCCTCAAAACTGCAGCACTCTGAATATTCAAATTGTTCTAAGAATTACCGACAAAATCTACTTAGTTTATAAATTGTATAAAATTGGCTATTTAGTGAATGTAAGCAGGTGTTAGTCTTTCAGACTTGGAGTACAAAATGATCTTGGTAGATAATGCAGACTTCAGAAATCCCAGATCGACTCTTCTGTGTTTTGACTTGGGAATCTGCAAACACAATTTATTCTTGGATTGTTACTATCTCCTGTTGCTGCTTCCTAGTATTTTCATAGGCATCAGAAGAAAATTATTTTGGAGAATCCCAAGAACTGTACCCTCCTTAAAAATGGCGGTGGTGTCCTGTTCTCAGGCAGCGTTTGAGGATGGCCACCTCTCTATTTACATGCTCCTCCTGGCACTGTTCAGTTTACTTGAAGCCTTTGAAGACAATAGTTGGCTTTTCAGAGGGGAGTTTGCCGCTTCTCTTGAGTATGAATGTCTGAGGATGAACTTCTGGAAGGTGTGGGTGAAAGAGCTAGCGTGGCTTTTTAGCACGTAATGATGTGATACTCATGTTCCTTGCATTGATGTTACGGGAAGATCATTCTTAATTTGAGGTGTATCTCTTTTTCTAGTGAAAATGGAGGTCTGGCTGAGAATGTTTTGAAGGAAAGACATTTTTACCTTTTATTTCATCTTTTCTTAGGTACTTTTTCAAATGTTGTAAGTGGGGATGTCAGCATTGCTTGTGTATTCATAGCTTATTGAGCTGCTGAATGTGCAGAGGAGGTTTCCATAAGCACCACACAGTTATCTGGGTGTGTGAGATAGAGCCACTTCCTACGTTATGCAGAAGTGATTCTTATAAAGATCATGTTTCTGTGGGTTCATAAAAATGTCAGTGACTTTTTTTGATGTGTGTTGATTGGTATAGAGCATCCGGGGATTTCTGATTTAATTTAGTGCATAAGTTAAAAATATGCAGGAACTTGCTAGCGGTTTTGCTCAAGGCATTTGTAATAGTTCCTCCTAAAGTTTAAAAAAGGGGAAAGAAAAAAAAAAAGAAACTCTCAGATTTTTCCCTCCCCCAGATTACTTTTTCACGAGTTTATCAGGCTGAACTGGCTTACCAAGGAGTCAGAAGGGGCTGTGCTAGGAAGGAAGCAGCTCTTCACAGCTGGGAGCAGGAAGGGGGATGTGCAAGTGGGACTGCGCCTTTGCAGCCACAGAAATCCATAATACTGCCTTAACTGTGTGCGAATCTTCAGTGAGGTTCATCTGAAGTCATCTCCACAGCCTGCATTCCCTTGGTTTGCACTGCTCCTCTTAGTGACCAGACTCACAGTAAGCTTAATGAAGACTTATTCCCTTTCTAAAGGAGTACTTTCACACACAAACCTGAATATTGTCCTTGTGCCTTTTGTTCCATATTTATAAGTATTTAAACAGGCACTACCTTTTTCATCCTTCAGTTTTAAAACACTCATGACTGTAGCACCAGCTGAGAAGGCACAGTGCCCATGGCTGCATCTCTGACTTCTTCCTAGGATGAGTAGCATTAGACTGGAGCCAGAATTTCTTCCAAAAGGTCAGGATAGTATTGATCGAACAGTCAAGAAATTATTTTCTATCTTATAGTAACTGATTCTGTGAGGTCTTTGTTGTTTAGTGTCTTAGCATACACTCACATACTCTGCACCTCCTCTTTCTACTGTCTGCTGCTTTGGACTTTGGTGGACAAGCCGGAGGGGTTTTTGAGGTAGGTAGATTCAGTGGGTTCAAGCATGGCCTCAATGGACGTGTATCAGTGGTGAAATATCTCTGACCCATGTGTCTTAAGTGTGATTTTTATTATACAGTGGTTAGGTATTTAAAATGGAAATCTAGAGATAACTATAGTCCTTAAGTCAGCTCACCTGTTTGGGAAAGCAGATTTGTTTTTCCATAAATAAGGCAATTGACTTCCTGTGAAGGGCTACAATAATAAATGTATACCAAACTTAATGGTTTTCTTTCATCTCTTTAGAGCTTGAACCAGAAATAAAATCTCCAATGTCTGATAAAAACAGCAGCAAGGCTATCTGTAAGTGATTCTGAGTGTACAACTTACTTCGGGTGTAAAAAATGAAAAACTTGTGATGTTCTTTCTGTTTCCACAGCTTTCCCTATGAAAGCACTCCCAAGGTAGCCTGTAGTACACCTAGTATTTTAGTGGGGTTTTTTAGTAATTATTTATTTTAACTGGGAATATATACTAGCGAAGAGGGAGAAAACCCTATCTCAAATCTCCTAGCAACCTTTTTTATCATGTCTTAGGGACTCTGGTTTCTGTACCTGACTCTGATCTATTTTCTTAACTTTAGGACCTATCTGGTTTGCTGTTTTAACTTGTCAGTATTGAATGAATAGAATGAGGTAGTTTCTTTTACTCAGTCCTCTTCTAGCTGGAAATACCATCGACTGACTCTGCTCAGCCTCTGTAGTACTCAAAATAGAAACATTTTTGCCAAAATGCTTTTGGAAAGCAGTGGAGTGCATTGCTCAGTTTTCTCTTTACCACCCGCTGTCTCTTCCAGGGCAATTGTTCTCCACGATGCGTGATTTAAAATTGGGGATGGCTGGGGCTACTGCCTCTTCCTGCCTCCAATTCCTCTGCCCTTGTTGAAGGCCAGCGCAGCAGACAGCCCTCTGCTGCCAAGGTGCAACTGCAGAATTTTGCCCTAAAACTCACCACAGTTGAGATTCTTTGAGAAAGAGGATTAACTGCCCTGTTAACACTGCTGCATTAAGATTCAGGTCAGGGGGCTGTAATACACCCATCATACCCTAAAATCAGGAGGAGAAGCTGAAGTTGTGTGCTCTGGCACATTTGGTCAGTGAGTAAGCACCACTATCTCACTGCACCTAGGTATTAGTCTCATTTTATTTACTGCGTTAGTGTGTGTCCTGGTGTGCAGGTGACTCCTGCTCTTCCAGCCCCAACTAGCAAGTCTATGCCACTTGCTGTGTTGGGGCTTAGCTGAGCTGGAAGCTGGGTTTGTCCATGTTCCTACTGTGTTTGCAGCATGGGAGCCATGGAGGAGGGTTGAGGGTTTGTGCAAGGTCGAACCAGCAGGACCAACAAGACCATTTTAGGAGGTTCCTGGCTAGCTTTTATCCTTCAGTAGGAACCTTCCTTGTGTCCCAGTAAATAAATGGAGGTGTCAGGTAGCTTGCTGGGCCCTGCCCTGCTTTGCTGCAGCAGGAGCTCTTCTGGGTGTTACCATGGTCTGCCTCTGCAGGTTGGCTCCTGCTTCTGCCAGACCTGGGTGGCAGGGCACCGGGGGTGAATCTGGGGACAACAGCACCACCCTCCTGACATGTCAGCCTGCTGGGAACTAACAAAATGTGGTTTGTGGGGTTGGTTTGGGTGTTTTTTTGGTTTTGTTTTGTTTGTTTTGGTTTGGTTTTTGTTTGGACTTTTTTTGAGAAAGGTTCAGTAACTTTTCACCTTTCTATTTCAGTTGATCCTGTAAATGCAGCTCCCACCACTTCAACCCGTGTGTTTTATATCAGTGTAGGCGTGTGCTGTGCTGTTATATTCCTGGTGGCAATAATATTAGCTGTCTTGCACCTCCACAGCATGAAAAGGATAGAGTTGGATGACAGGTATGTATTCAAGCTTTTCGAGCGCATTTCTGGGACATGTTTACCCAGACTTGTGGGAGTTCTTGTCTCAAAATGAGCACTCTGTAGTAGCTTGCAATTTCTGCTCTTGATGTCAAGCTGTAACAATTACTACCTGTGCAGAGTTGTGGTAAGTGCTATACTGCAGAAAGGCAGCAGTTGCAGGTGCTCTGCTGTTTATGGGGTAGGAGGGTTATAGCTGTTGGGTTTTTGCCAGAATAGTTTTGTGGAGGACACACAGTGGGGAAATTTGGACAGAGTCAGGTCTACAGGGATTGTCAGGACTGAAGGAAAACTTGATATATACCTGGGCACGCTGAAAATACTTGTTTCTTACTGACTTCTACAGGAGATTGAATTTCAGTTTTCTCTATTTTGATTCACTTACCAGTATTCACTTTGGCCTTAGGATAAAATCTGGGTATTACAACTGGTTGGTTAGAAAGCTGAAAATGGGCTCACTCTGAAATGTATTTTCAATCCAGAAAAATCAAATTGGCACATGCACGTGAAAAGGACTTGTAACGTGAACCCAAGGGCAATATGGTTGGCTGAGTGGGGATTAAACATCAAGGCGGAAGGGAGGCTGATAAAACAGGTGGACTGAGGCTCTGCTGAGGCAGTGTGAACAAGCTGCATCAGATGCAACTGTTCAGAAGCAGGCAGTTTTGAAACTGAATACTTTGGAAAGCAGTTGGGCCCATGGGTCGTCACCCCTGTTGAAAGGGTACCTTGAACTGTTTCTGTTCCTGCCTGCAACCTCTCAGAGTAACTCTATCTTTTCATCTTCCTCTATCCATTCATGTGTTTCTTTCTGTTTTTCTTTCTACCCTTTACTCCTCTGGTGTCCCAGACCACTTGGTTTTTGGGGGTGTCAGTGTAGTTAGTAATGGTTTCAAGGCCAGGTTGGATGGGGCTTTGAGCAACCTGGTCTAGTGGAAGGTGTCCCTGTCCATGGTAGGGGGGTTGGAACTAGACAATCTTTAAGGTTCTTTCCAACCCAAACCATTCTATGATTCTCAGTGTGTGATTATCTAACCAAATGACTTGTCAGCTTTCCTCAATTCATTTGTGCCTAATTGTCTACTGAGGGTTTTTAATGAATAGAAGGTGTTAAAGGATGTGCAGCTTGCTTTAATTCAGAAAGGAAAAGCATTACATTTATAGAGTGTGTAAATAGTGTCATCTACAAGTTTTTGAGATACTGTCTCAGCCTAGCAGTGTGATCAAGTTTCCTTTCATCCACTCCATCGTACTTGATTTCTGTGGAGATACAAGCTAAAAATTAATCTAATGTTAATACTCTGTGGTTTGCAGGTATTAAAGAATTTGCTCTAAATCAGTATATGGCCTTCTGATAATTTCTGTGAAGTTTGTGCAGATAGTGGGATTTAGTTCGTCAGAGAGCCATGTGATGACTTGTTTTATGAGCCTGAAGGTGCCTGACCTGACAAAACCTTGGATGGGCTCCTGGGTAGGAGCTCTGGTCAACTTGTACGGTAGCAAAGGTGTAACAGAGAGGCAAAATGTGCCTGAAAATCATGATCTGTGGGGTTTTATTTTCAGAATGGGCAGCGTGCACAGGAGCCAGCAAAGAGACTGTGAGGTGATGTTTCAGTGCTCAGCTGAGAAACTGGTTCAGTGTTATAATTGAGCCTTGATGTTATGCACTAGCATTCCATATGATCATTGACTGCTTGATTTAGCAACTAGTCAAGGAGCTTGTGAGAGAAGAAACAACTTTTGCTTTGGTTTTGAATAACAAGCTCAAAACATTGCTGTAGAGGGGTTCTGAATCAAAGATGATAACGTCATTAGGGTTAACGACCTCCCAGGAGCAACAGAGGCTGAAAAACCCACTGCTGTTGCTCAGAGCATTTCAAAAACCAGAACTAAATAAAAATGACGAAGATTGTTAAATAGAAGCTAAAACCAGGCAGCTGAGTTTACAGGCTGCACATGGACTATTTAAGAACATTGTACTGAAAGTTCAGAGCAAATGCTTGCATACCTCCTATCAAAGGCACTTGAAAAATTGCCAAAGAAACTTGGCGTGGCTTAACAGCAGGATAATGGAGGTTATTAAAAGCAAGAAGGCATCGTTCAAAAAGCTGACATAGTATGCAAGTGAGAAAACTAAGAAAGCTCATAAACATGAGCAAGTTAAACCAAAAAAACAGAATGAAGCCAACCAAAAAGGTAGCTTTTCAAACTTGCAACAGGCATAAAAAGAACAATTCCTTTTTCAGACTTGCTTGCAGCAGGAAGCCAGCCAAAGAAATCTGTAGGGCTAGTAGGTGATCAAGTTACAAAAGGCGTTTCCAGCCATAGCAGGAAAACGAACTGGAAGTTCCACATCAGTGTTTAATGCAGTGACCATGCCAGGACACTTCTTTCCGGGAAACTCGCTGGAGAGTGGATCGTGTGGAAGCAGCTTGTAGATGCAATAGTGCAAACAGTTAAAATAGGCAGTAATAAGTTGCCAGCACCAGAGAATATTAATTCAAAAACTCTAAAGGAAGTTAAAGTGGAGTAGCTAGACCACCAATGGTGGCTTTTAACCTCATGCTAAAAACTATGCTGGAACCCTACACCTGGAAGACAGTGAATGTGGGAATAACTTTAAAAAAGGTTTCCAGAGAGAGAGCGAGGCCAGCTATAAATCAGTAAGCCTAGTATTTGTATGGTGAGAATTAGTAGATTCTGTTCTAAAGAAAAGATTCAGTAGGTGCATCTGTGATTATGGTATAATGGGGAAGAGTTGACTTGTTGGCTTTCTTTTTTTAAAGGAAGTCTTGCTTCAAAACTAACAGTGGTCCTTGAGGGCATCACCAAGCGTGTCTAAAAAATCCTACAAGGATGGCCAGCACTGCTTGGTCAGTGCTCAATAGCAGCCCAAGAAGCAAGTGGAATGTTGATTACTTGGCAAGACAGAGGGTTATACCCCAAAACAATCTCTTCTTTGTTCTCCAGATACAGTCAGCAGAATTGGAGAAGCTTTTAAGTTTCAAAAAAGAGGGGGATGTTTGTGTGTGTTTGGGAGGGAGATCAAAAAAGCTTCTTCCAGCCCTGCCATATGAGCTAGTAAGAGGTACTTACCTTTGCCCGCAAACTTTCTCACCTGTTCTTAGGCCGTTACAGCTACAACAATTCTTTTTGTAGGATTTTGTCTATGAGGATAAGACAGAAAACATCCTACTATGGTTTAAGCTATGGTTTGCCTGTCTCTTGAATACTCTGTGCAGCTATGGTCCTTCTACCCAAAGAAAATATCTCAAAAGCACATTGTAGGTGGCCCTGGAAGGGGCAACAAGTATCCTTAGAGAGAGGAATGACAAAGTAGGCTAGGACAGTTTGGTCTGTAAAAGAGCTGAGACAGGTACAGTGGTACAGGGCAGACAACCGTTCGCAACAGTGAACTAGGGAATATCTTTTCGATATTTGTTCCAGCACAGGAACTAAAGTGCAGCAGATAGAGCTAGCAGCTGGCATGCCCAGAGCAAGCAAGAGGAGATCACTCTGGCTGAAAAAGCTAGTTGAGCTTTGCACGGTGTTACAGGTGCCTCTCTGTTTGGCTCAGGCTGCTGCTTTCAAACTTTAGCAGTCGTTGTTGATTCTCAGTAGGATGTTGGTACCATGAAACAAATGCACTCAAGTCTTCTCTGGAATATAATAGTTTTGTTGTTTCTGGCATGACAGGGTGGTTTTTGCAATAAATGTTTTGTCACCTTGATTTTTCAAAAGTGGGGGAAAAGTGCTGGAAAATAGAGCAAATTCTGCAAAACAAATAGGAGGAAGTTGTTCACACTCAAAGGACAGAAGTGCTAAGATTTTTGAGTTACCTGACATACATTTTAATGTGTGAGAGACTTTAAAAATGCCGTTCTTTCAAAGTCTAGCCTGGAAAATCTTCTGTTTTAACTTTGATATGTTAATTTTGAATTTATTACAGTGGCAGGCAGTCATGTTCATGTCCATTTTTGTTTTAAAACAGCATTAGTGACAGCAGTAGCTCACAAGGCTTATCCCAACCTTCCACACAGACAACACAGTACTTACGAGCTGACACGCCAAACAATGCAACGCCAGTAACCAGTAAGTGTTAATCTAATTATAGACCCTTGCAACAGACCCTCTTGGACACAGCTGGAGTATTTGGTGGTAGGGGTCTCATCAATTAGTCTTTTCATCTTGTTGCTGCAACCTGCAAAGGAAATGAATGGGGAAGAAGCTTTACAAGGGTGATACATTCGTGGTTTCTTTTTGTTCACAGCTTTGCTTGAAAGAACATTAAATAGTTAAAAAGAGCAGTGAATTAAAAGGAAGTGCGGCAGTGTTTTATATACTCTGTGATAGACTGATACTAGCTATGTTCTGTGTTAATTCTGTAATTACTGAGGTATTTATTATCTGCTGAATGTTTACTCCAATTATTGTCTGTCTTCTCTAGTGGAGAGATATCCCATATAGCATCACTCCAGGGAAGGGACTGTTTAGACTGTAGGGAAGCTGGATGGTGTAGAGACGCACTTGGTGTGCAGTTCCTTGGCAGTTCGGTCTTATTGGACTGACCATGAGACTTTCCCCTGTGCTAGCACTTACGCTGCTAGGCTGCAAGATGGTTTGGGGAGCTGAGCCAGCCAAAAACTGACTTCCTTTGTACAGTGATGGACTTTTTGGTTGACTTGGGTTTCTGAACTGGCTTGTAGCCTAGCTGTATGAGCGCCAAGATTGGTGCTTAGAGGGTATGGGTCTACATGACTGAGCACTAGAAGAAGGCAGGACTTAACCCAAACTCAGTTGGCTTAAGCTACTGCTGGAGAGCCTGCTTTAAAAGATCTAAAGTGAGGTAAGGGTTTATATTACAAAGTGAGAAAAATGGGAGAGCCCGGCCAGAGGAACAAACTGTCTCTCTGTTAAACTCAAATTGCTGTTTTTCTCAATAGAGTGAGAACTGCCAAGCTAAAATAGTACCCTGGCACTCCTCACCTCTTCAGAAAGTGTAAATTAAATGGCTCCTGTTTTCATCTACTGCCACCAGTGATTTTCTTTTCTGTAATGCTCAATAGTTTTGTATTAATTGCCTGAAGAGACTTTGTTCAGCAATCTAATGAGTAGAAATGTCAATGAAGATCCGTTATTTAGAGCTAGGTAAAAATAATGATGAATGACTCGAATTTTTTTTTTTTTTTAAAGCAAGCAATAAGTCCCAAAAGTCTCTCCCATTTTCTTCTGATTGCACTTAGTAGGGATACAGACCATCCTAATTCATGAGGGAGTACTGTACAAATGTCATGATTACTGTTCAGCCCTACTGTGTTTTCTTGTTTCCTTTCCACGTATGGAAGCAGATAAGCTAAGATTGAACTCCTGCAACACTTTGGGAATTTTGGCTTTCTTCTAAATATATATCTATAGCTCCTTATAAAAAAAAAAAAGAGATGTTTTTGTCATCTGAGTTCATCTTCTCCCATGAAAAAAACTGCCTTTAAAATTTATTTAGTTCCCCCTCCTTTCCACAGAGTTTGGAAGAGACCTTAGCATACAACAAATTCTTGAGCTGGTTTTCCCTTTTGCCACGCAAAGTCCCTTCCCAGCCTTTTTATTTTCCATCTCTTATCCCAGATCACATTCTGCTGTTGATGTCCTATCAACCTCAGGTTTTCAGGTTGGCCCTCTAAGTAACACTGTTTGTTTAATTTTAATATGACCCCTGGAAACTAATTGCTGAGCCTCTGGCAAAAGGGGAGAGGAGGACTTGTCATGAAGGTGGCCTACAAACCAAGCCTATAGTGATGATTAAACCCTCCTTCACCTTGACAACCGTGGTAGCTGCTATGCCTAAATGGGACCTGTTTGCTGTGTTCAGTCTGTATTGTTTCAGAATGCCTTTTACATGTTTTGGGACACCCCTGGTAGCACAGGGAAAAAGAATATAAGAAGAAGAAAGGTTGGATGCATGAAATAAACAGGAAGAACATTATTAGTCCTTCCACAATCATATTAACCTTGTTTTCAGTAACGTTTAAATTAATAAAAATTATAATCAAAGTAATTATCAAGATTTTTCTCTAGTGATTCATAAACATGTACAAAAATATTCAGACCTTTCTGACTATATTAGTGTATCTAGATGTCTAGAAGTGCCAGAAGAGGGCACTGGTAGTTTTGGTTACATCCTGCTGGCGTAAGGCATCTTCCTCACTCTGACAAGTCTTCTGACAGTCTCTGACCATGATCTTTATTTCCTTGTTGTCAGGGAAGTGCAGTGTTGTGTTAATGAGCTTCAGTATGTAAGAAGGAGTTTTATTTACTTGGTGTTAATAATGAGACTTGATTGCATGACACTATGTATAATTCCGGTGTGATTTTTTTTTTCTGCAGATTATTATATTCACATGACTTCTCTTGTGTTTGTTATTTAATACTACAATCTTTTTAAGATTAATACATAATATTTTTAAGTACCTGCTGCTTGCATGCCTTTATACCTGTAGGTGGTGCTAAGGTGAAGCAATGTGCTTGTGTTCTCACTATAAGGGTATTTATATTGGTTTGTTTGGCTCTGCTGGCTCCTCAGGTTATCCTACATTACGGATAGAGAAGAATGATCTTAAAAGTGTCACTCTAATGGAAGCAAGAGCTAAGGTGAAGGACATAGCCATCTCCAGGGAGAGGATAACTCTAAAAGATGTGCTCCAAGAAGGTATTTACAGGACTTGGACACTTGTTGGCTACAACATGGTGTATGTGTGTGTGTATATATATATTTATAGCTAGATTTTTCTGAAATTAATCGTGGATGATGTTTCTCATCTTTGTAACTTTGGAGGAGGAGAATGATGATGAATGATGTTTACATTTGGGGTGTGGGGGAGGGTGGGGAAAGCAGTTTCCAGATTTCATTAGAATAGGGGAGCAACTAATGCTCAGTAAATCATTCGGCTTGTCTGTCTTAATAATCTGGTCCTTTAAATAAAGGTAAGGATTAGATGGCTAAAGAATGAGGTAATCAGTTGGGGCTGTAAGTGGCAAAGTAACTCACTTTTGTAAGTTACTGCAGGAGAGCTTCTCTTAATTTAAAAAAAAAAAAAATCAAACCAGAAAACCCCAAAGTCCACAAAAACCTCAGTCATCTAAACTCATCATCCCAATTTAATAGCTTCTGATTTGGAAATCTAACCAGCAGATGCAACATTTACAGCTCTGATATGAAAAATTCAGAGACTACCTGATTCTTTTGTCTTGTTTAATGTTTACTTTGGGAGTGTTCATGCACAACATTAATTGATTCTTGTTGATGTTGAATTTGGGAAATAGACTTAAATATTTAGGGATTTTTGTCATTAATCTTTACTGCTGCAACTTCAAGTCTGTGTTCCCTGAGCCACATGAGAAATCAAACTTCCCAAAGCTACAGATCTGAGATACTCATCCTTTGGAGGTGGAACTGCTAAATGCTTTGCATTACTGTCTGAAAAACAATGGGAGGATGCTAACACTCCCCATTTAATGTATGCCTCTAAATCTCTAAGGAGGTAGCTTTGTGCTCAACTCCAGTGTCGGTTCTGCAAAAAGCTTCCTTCACATGCGGGATGTGCTTTGTGTTCCTTTGTACTGTGTGTTGTCTCTAGCTGTGGTGTTAGGAGTCATCTGATGATGAGAAGTGACTCAGTGCTACAGCTAAGTGTCAGATGTTCAGCACCGAGTGACAGAGCTGCCCTACTCTGCAAGATGCAGCTTAAATGGCTGTTGAATGCAATGTGGACCCAGTTAATACTGGGGTCTTGTTTCTTGGCCTCCAGCTGGTACTTGCATCTGTGAAAACCTTCAAAAGTTAGTCAAAAGACTAGAAGACCGATCCTGATGAACAATCATGAATTTTAGTTCAGGGTCGTAGTAGAGCTGAGCCTCTGTCAACTAAGAACAAAAGAGCTTCAGAGGGAAAGAAGAGAATAATGGAAATGTTTGCATAAAATTTTCAAGAATTCCTAAGTGCTGCCAATGGAACTTAAACATATTTTACAGGTCTTGGCCAGAGATTCATTATAAACTTCAAGTAGCTTCCATAACTTAATCTACTTTAACATTTTAATAATTTAGGAGATTATGGTTCTGCTGTGGTGTAACCAGTTGGAAAATGCAAAGCACCAGGTGTGAGAGTGCGCAAAGGAAGAAGGATCTGTAGGGGCCTTTTGTATTGCTGGGCTCATGCAGCACCTGATTCTGAACCTGCATCAAGCTCATATTGTACTAGATGTAAGACAAAAATATAGGTGTCTTAAAGTTTCAAATGGAATAGCTCCGCTTTAGCAAATGGAGCAGATATTAACAGCAAGTGGACCTTTACCATTTTCTGGTGAAGTAGAGAAATGACTTAGATGTCCAGTCTGGAATATAAACAGCATAATCTGCAAAAAGCCCAGAGGAGAGTGAGGCAGAAGTAGTGTGTTCACAGTGCTGTCTCTAAATGTTATAGCACACGGTGACACACAATTCCTGCTAAGGTACAAGTCTTTCAGGGTACCATTAAAAAAAAAAAAACAAAACCACAAAACCCCAAACCATGGACCATACAGGAATGCTGTGTTACAGTCTTACTATGTCTAGATACTGGATTGCATGAAAATTATTTTCTATTCATAACTGCTTTTACACGCTTCCCCATTCTCTTTATTTCCAGCACTTAAAAATAGATAGATAGCTTGATACCGTAACATGTTTCAGTACAAAACGCTATCTTCCCTTTGACTTTTTCATATATCTGTGTATTGGAAATATATATTTAAGGCACTCTTATGATGTCTTCAAGAACCAAGATAGGAGGGGTTTAGTTTACTGTTAAATAACTTATGCTGTGTATTTATGTCTGCCTGTGGTCTCTAGTTAAATTACTTCTTAATGAGATTACAATTAACTTTCTGCTGTGGCTGAATCATTTTAAGGTAGTGTTTTCTTAATAGATACTAAGTTCTGTTAATGTTATCAGTGTATTTTTACCACGTAATACTTATTAATTGTATGTTCTCTTTGTAGGCACATTTGGGCGCATTTTCCATGGGATTCTAATAGAAGAAAAAGACCCCAGTAAAGAGAAACAAGTTTTTGTCAAAACTGTTAAAGGTATGTTTACATAAAGGAGGTTTTTTTGTGTCCAGTTGTTTGGATTGTGGTGCATGCTGAGTGTATCAAATCTGTCTTTAAAAACAACCCCCTCCTCTCTGAAATATGCAAATGGCTACTGATTAAAAAGCAAAAGCAATTTGGATGCTGCCTTCAGCCAGAGAGAACAGAAATCTTATATGGAAGAAAAATGCATGTGCTCTCCACCAGTGCCTTCAGTTACTGCGTCTTGAATACTTTTGCTTATTATTCTTCTAAGTAAAAAATATATTTGTTTTTTTTCCCTGAGCATGTCATTGTTCTCTCCATCCACAGCCTTTTCCCCTGCAAATTGCTGAAAAAGGCACCTGCAATGCATCTTAAAAAACTTTTATAAACATGCATGGCTGTACAAAAGATAGGGCATAGTTTCTGCCATCCTTAAACTTTGCTACTGAAGCTTGAGAATTATTATTTAGAACTTAATTTATATAAATAGGGCATCTTTGTTCAAGAAATATGTTGTTGGAGTGATTTAAATCATGATAGGTAGACTTAAGAAACAACAAGGTAAGTATAGATGAAAACCGTATTACACATATCCTACATATATATATTACATATATCCTACATATATCCCTTCCTCAACACTCATCATTGTAAGAGTTCTCTAGTAGCTTACAACAGGTTTGCTGAATTCCCTGTACAGTAGTTGCTTCACCAGTTATTTTTGTCATTTCAGTTGGATGTATTATTGCCTTTGGTTTTTCACTTTACAACTTCTTTAATTCTTTCTTTAAAAAAAATAAATATTAGGATTCTATAAGAATTTCAACTTGTTTTAATTTTTTTTTTTTGCCTGGCTAGTAATTTTTAAAGATACTAATTTTGAAGAGAAAGGTGGGAATTTGTGAAGCTGCTAAATTTTGTTGTTGTTGAATCTTTCTGGTACTGATTTATTCTGTGCTGTTTTTAAGAAAAATATATTGCTTAAAGAAAGCAACCTTCTATTATTCTTGGTATGTTTCTCACACAATCAGATGTGTGCTTATGATAAAAAAAAAGTTTAGGTGGAAAGCCACTTAGAAGAAGATTCATGCTCACTTCAAGGGGAGGAATTTCTTAAAGTCAACCTGATTTGGAATAAAGGTAGCTGGAAAAGGGGTCCCTACTTCCTGAAACAGTCTGAATTGGCAGTTTGGGATGGGTGCTGTTGCATTCTTTAGCTGCACGTTGTTCTTGATGTAGGCCTATCAGGATGGTGTGCTTTTGGCAGTGAAGACAGGTCAGTGCCTGATACCATACCTGCTGCTCTGACAAAATATGTTGAACTTCAAAAGGTCCAACTTGCAGTACTATGAGCCAGGTACCAGCTGTGAGTAATCAACATAGGCAATGTGAAATTAGCCTCCTTTCCTGCCTAACAAATCCTTACCTCCTAATCAGCCCGATATGCCTGGACTGTAAGGTCCCTCCACCTCAGTGGGATGGGTACCAACAGTGAAGTAGTGCTTTGTGGGCATCAGGAGGGTAACCTGTGAGTAAATCTGTCTTGGCATCGAGTCAGCCAGCAGAGCTTGATCTGTGCTCTAGGACAACTGTTTGTGTTTCCACTAATGGGATTCATGGAGGGCTGAACAGTGAGGATTTGCTGCTGTCCCTCTTCCTGCTCTATTCTCTTGCATGTCCTTGTGGGCATTCCTAGGTTCAGAGTGACAGCTACTCTCGTAGTCACAGATACTTCCGTTATTTCTTCAGGAATGCCTCTGAGGTGGTACACTTTCATTCTGTAGCACTTTTCCTCCCTGTTGAGTCCAGAGAGGGCTTCTGAAAAGTAGGTATGCTGCCCCTTTGGAAGATGTTGGTAGCTACCCTTTAGCATGATGGTAGCTAGAACTGTGTCGTCTGAAGTAGTCATAGCCTTAACAAAAGTAATGGTCCTGTTATATAAAGGCAAGTATTTTCTTGTAGTGACTTCTAGCAAGAAGCAAAGGAGTGTCTTTTATTTAAAAAAAAAAAAAAGTATGCTTCTTCCCAGTATTTTGGGAACTTTTCCTGAATTCTGCCCTCTCCTGTTGCCCCTCCCTGCCAAACAGTTCTGACTGTCATTTTGCTTTTCTTTAATATTGTTTCCGAAAGACTTATCCCATGTCACATGAGCCTGGTGCTCCTCTGTGTTGTTGGAGGCAGTCTAACTTGGGGCATCATTCACCAGTGTTACCTTAGTCTGTGATCCCCTTCGCTCTGTTATTTGGTGGTTCTCTGCCCTGATTCAGAGTCAACAAATGCTACGGCTCTTGTGAGCACAGAAATTGTTGTAAGCCAGGACAGTTTGACATCTGTACAGCACTACTCAAGCATGCTTACTTTTTATAGCATTGGATGAAATGACAAGACAATATTTGTGAGAACAGATCTTCATTTAGCTGCCTCCCATCACCACTTACCTAATTGCTTTACCAAAATGGGGCTTCCAATCCACTCTTAAAGCCACATTTCTCCCTTGCAGTGGCTTGTATCTTTGACACAGCACACATCCTGATTTCTCTAGCTCTTCCCTTTGCAGTGAAAGATTTGCTGGCTGTGGTGAACTGGAGTATGGTCTTAAGGGAGTAATGGTATTCATGTAATTGTTGTCTGTAGAGAATTTCTCAGCTTTAAAAAGGATCTATATGGACAAAGTTTATAATAGACTTTGCTGATACTTGTCTGTGAAAGAATACTGGTTTGGGCAGCAGAATGTTGCTAGGAAAATAACTATAAACATCCCCACTTCTCCTTACAGCAGTTCATTTGCAGTGCTAATATTAAGCAGCTTCGTTTTCGTACCCTGGCTGTGATAGCTGTGTGTGCAGCTGGGTCATGTAATAAGTTGGGAATTTGATCTGCTTGGAAAAAAAAACAACCTGCAAAAATTCTCTCTTAACCAGACTTTTTCCTTGATCTTGTTCTTTCTGTGACCACACACACACTGCTGTTTTGGCACAAACACAGGAGTAGGGCAGGACCACAAAAGTGAGATGGGTATGAGAACTATTAAACTGACTTAAGTATCTCTGTTGCGGAAGGCAAAAAAAGAGCCTGAGGGTCATGGAAAAGAAACAAGGGAAAAAGGCTTTGTTTGTGTAACTAAGTTATCCCCGCCCCCGCCCACGAACTGTCTTGTTTTACCCAGTGGTGCACTCTGATAAAATAAAGTCCATTGGTACCCTGAATGACAGAAAATAATGGGGAGGGGGAGGGGGGTGTTCCAGGTCGTCTGAAAAATGTGAACTGAAATTGTTTCAGCAGGTGCTATGAGGAAGAATAACGTTCTTGAGAGGAAAACCACCTCTTCTCAGCAGTATCAGAGCTTGAGAAACTTAAGACATCGCATTGGCTGTTTTGATAGTAGGGTAGTTGCTATGGCTTTAAATCTGGAATTGCCAGAACCCTTTGGAAGGAGAACACCTGGACATGGCAAATATCATTGGTACACTTGTGCCCAAACTAGAACTTCATATCGTAGAATCATAATCGTTTGGGTTGGATGGGACCTCTAAAGACCATCTAGGCCAACCCTGCTGCCATGGGCAGGGACATCTTTCTCTAGATCATGTTGATCAAAGCCCCATCCAACCTAACCTTGAACACTTCCAATGATGGGGCATCCACAACTTCTCTGGGCAACCTGTTCCAGTGTCATACCACCCCCACTGTAAGAAAAAAAAAAAAATCTTCCTTATGTCAAATTTAAATCTGCCCTCTTTCAGTTTAAAACTGTTGCCCCTTGTCCTGTCACTACAGGCCATGATAAAAAAAAATCTCTGCATCTTTCTTATAAGCTCCCTTTAAGTATTGAAAGGCCACAATAAGGTCTCTGGAGTGTTTTCTTCTCAGGCTGAACAACCTTAATTCTCTCAGCCTTTCTTCACAGGAGAGGTGTGCCAGCCCTTGGATCATTTTCATGGCCCTCCTCTGCTTCTCTGGACCCGCTCTAACAGGTCCATGTTTTTCTTGTGCTGGGGACCCCAGAGCTGGACACGGTACTCCAGGTGGGGTTTCATGAGAGTAGAGTAGGTGGGGAGAATCACCTCCCTCAACCTGGGAACTTTGTCTAGACATGACCTTAGTTGGTGCAGTTGTCTACTGTGTCACTGGATAATAAGTCTTCGCCCCTGCAGAGTAACACCAGTGTGCTGGCATATAAGTGGCTTTGTGTTGGGTGTTACCGTTGCAAGCTATATTGATCATAGCAAGTTTGCATTGTGCAGAGTGGTAAAGCTGGTGGATTAAGTGATTATCCACTGGACATGCGCAAGAAAGCCTAAGTAGTATACATGGCACTGAAGGCTTCCTCGAGCCATGGGCAGCTAATGTACATTGGCTTTTAGGAGAGGACCTCTGCTGTACTAGGAAAGGTGTCAAAGAAGGGTTATTGTGCCATTCAAGTAATGGTTTCTGAATACTTCTCATAAGAAAACCTGTGAAGAAAGGTCATGCCATAGATCTAACAGCAGGTGTGTATCATAATGGATCTCTTCTTCCTTGTGTTCCTTCTTCATAGTAGTGTATTTATAAGATCCATAACCTTTCAGGATGGGTTACTTCCTAATAATGTGGACAGAGGAGAATGTGCTGTCAGTTTTCTCATTTCATATCCTGGACAAGATGGATGTTGTGGCTGACATGCTCATCAGACAGTAGTTAGATGCCTGAGTATTTCCCACTCTGAGAGGAGTGTGTTTGCAGCCTTGTCAGTTTCCCTCTTTCCTATTTTTTTACTTCGCCCTAGGGTTGATCCTTGTCTGCAAAGGATCAAAAAAGCAAAGGTACACTTTGACTGGTTATGGCAGTAACTGCAGCAGCCTTTCCCCCTTTCCTTCTCTGCTGTTTTCTATTAACTAGAAGAGTGCTAAATGAAATCAAGAAGCCTTGATTTTTCTGAACTTAGTACTTGTTCTCCCTTCTGAAGTGATCTGCTGTTGAAGGAATTGGTAACACATAAAAACTGAGAAAGCCTGGACCTGCCTACCTTTGTC